CCCTTTTATAGGCCCCAGCAGGAAGTCTAGAAGACAGGAAGAGGGGAATGGGAATAGAACAGGTGTACGCCCCTTTCATTCAGGCTTGCTCCTGGTATTAGATTTCAGATCTCCACCCACCAGGAGCAGCAGGGTTCAAACCATTAAGCAGGTTTCAAACCATTAGACACACCAATCCCTGGCAGTAACTCTAAACATGGAGTGTTGTCGCTGCTTAAAGCAGGCAGTTTGTGAAAGTATGCTGCTAACTTCAGACAAGGCAGTTAATTAGAAGAGCTTTAGCTGGAAAGTTAAATCACTGAAGAGATCCAGCTCTGTTCTGCCCCAAGCCAGAACACTGGTAGAGCAGTGATAGCAGCATCCCGTGCATTATAACAGTATACAGAATGTGACAGTTTGCTTAAGCTGCCTTGTAAATGTAAAGAGAACTTGAAATTATGAGGGTTTTTTTATTGTTGTTGTTTCAGGTGAATCAATTCAGATCTTTGCGGAGATTGAGAATTGCTCTTCCCGTGTGGTGGTGCCAAAGGCAACCATTTACCAAACACAGGCATTCTATGCCAAAGGGAAAATGAAGGAAGTCAAACAGCTTGTTGCCAACCTCTGTGGAGAATTCTTGTCATCTGGCAAAACAGAAACCTGGAATGGCAAACAATTGAAAATTCCACCTGTTTCCCCTTCAATCCTTGACTGTAGTATAATCCGTGTGGAGTATTCACTGATGGTATGATGGTATGATTCTGTTTCACTCATGAGAATTAGTAGCTTCCAATGTTCCATACAAATTTCTAGCACAGCATTTTGTGATAATTAGTAATGAAAGAAATAAATGTTCTGGTCTTAGTGTCCTGACAGGAGATCTGGTAAGTAAATTTAATTTAAATCATGGAAGTTCTTAAAGCAGTTTTGTGTCAACTAAGCAAGTATTTAATGCGTAGACTGCGTTTCCACGTGAGGGCTCATTTTAAAACTCTTATTTTAACTTGAAATGCTCATGTCTCTATAGGGGCATTCGGCCCTAAAAAAGACTATTAGAAACAAGCTCCTCATGGAAACTTCCATAGAAAGACAACTTAGACTAATACTTATCAAGTGCTGATAAAACCCCATATTTTAATCATATACTTGTTTAATTTTTCATCAGGTATATGTTGATATTCCAGGAGCTATGGATTTATTCCTTAATTTACCACTGGTCATTGGTACCATTCCTCTACACCCATTTGGTAGCAGAACGTCAAGTGTGAGCAGCCAGGGTAGCATGAACATGAATTGGCTTGGTCTGACACTGCCTGAAAGACCAGAAGGTAACTTGACAATACAAATCCCAATCTAGTCTAATTTTATTTTTGTCTGCTTTATTCATTGCAGTCTTGATAACAGAGTCAAATTACATCCTTCCATAATGAAGCCTACTAGAAAATCTATTGTGGATGTTTTCTTGCCACCTGCTTGTCAGATTTTCTTCCTTCCCTGCCTTTCTCTCTCTAGGACAGGCAGTGAAATCCAGCTGCCTTGGAAGGTGGCAAAAATGAAAGCACAGGATGCTGTTGTATCTCTGCACAACTTCTTTATTTCCACCTCCATTATCCCAATTACATCTTTGGTTATAAGGCATTGCAACCCATAGTAGCAGTTTCTGGGGCCTCTCACCAGCCTTAGTAGCCAAGGCTTTGTGAAAAGATAATATTCTTTCCTATGGGAAATCTCTTATGGCCAAAGAAAGAATTATGTATTTCCTTCCTTCTGTTTTCACATATCTAATATCCTGGGGTTTTTTAAGTACAAATCCCAGACCTGCAGACTTCTGGAATCCAGAGGACTGCAATGTTCTGTCATTCCTGCCTGTACAGAAATAAATTATCTTTGGTATGCTTTAAATTTTAAGAGGCTAATTCAACCGCAACAAATAGTGGTCAGTCTCTTTTTTAACATAAGCTTAATATTAGAATAAAATGAAATAGTCTAGTCTCCCTTTTTATCAATTTTTTAAAGAAGTTGCCTACCTGCTTGTGAACCTTACAGCAATTGAAGTTTAATATTTATCATGTTATATATTTGATATGCATAAGAACTTGTTGTTTGAACTGCATGTACCTTCTCCCTTCAGCACCTCCTAGCTATGCAGAAGTGGTTACAGAGGAAAACAGACAGTCCAGCCTTGCACCTCTAGCTGCTTTTGATTATTTTGAGAGAGGACTTCAAAGATCATTATTTGCATACATCCAGGAGTTCCGTTTTCTGCCTCCACCCCTATATTCAGAAGTAGGTATATTTCTCAGAATATGATGATTCATGGATTCTTTCTATCTGACTTATTCCACAAGACAAAAAAAAAGTAAGTTTAGGAAGCTGTTTATCCCTCATAAAATTAGGAGAAACCATTAAAATTATGAATGTGGAGTAAGTTGGTTTTAAGGAGGATTTTTTTTTGTTGTTGGCAAGATGTAAGCGAATTCCATCAAGAGTTTTCCATGCCTGTTTCCAACAGGGGTTACCCTTTTTATTTTTAAATATTTTTTTTTTTAATATTTATCATGAACTGTGCAGCCTTAAATTTGAAAGGTGCGCTGTGAGGTGCCTTAGCTTCTCATGCTCTTTCCTGGACCTGAAGACTTGGCAGCATTCTTCCCTAGTCTAATACTTTCTGGAAATTTTCTAAGCGTTATTTACTATCTTATCAACTTTTTTTTTTTAATTTATGTATTAAAAATAAAAAAGGTTTCAACTCTTTCATCTCTACGACTTTTTATAGCAACCACTAAACTGTTTTGCCTGCATGTATGTTTAAGTTCTGTGGATATAGGGCTTTCAGAAGCTTCATGTAGAAAAGTGACATACTGGTATTAATTTCTGACAAGTTTTCTGAAGTATGAAGTCATTCAACACTTCTGGCCACTGTAAAGGCCTACTAAAAATACACCCACTGAATAACCATGAATGAGATGCAAATTTAAAAGCTTTTAAAGTTTTCTTTTCAAGAAAAAGCAGTCATATATGATAAAAAAACTTTGGTGAAACTTTGCCTGAATTCACCCACTTGAAGAAAATAGCACTATGTAGTACAATTCACAGTCCAGCCTTGAAACACTGCTGTTCTCATGAGTGGGCAGAGAGATTTTTTTTTGTGTGCTAGACACTTTCCTGAAAACTCTGCACTCTAGAGCAAATCTCCTGAGTCCTCTTTATTTTAGGTACTTTAAGTTTTAGAAAGAAGCATTTTTTAATTTTTATTTTGTTAAAAAAAAAGACTAGATGAAGTTAACTACTGCAATGATTTCTAAAAGATGCACTGTACACAAACTATTCTTATCATCCAGTTTTTGAGACCTAAGTTAGCAGGCTGTACCCCTTGTTTCTCCTATAAAAAAGAAGTAGTGATAAGGTTTAGAATACAACTTTTCTAAACGTCCCATAGGATACTTGAAGATTAACTACTTCTAAATTAAAAAGTAGATTTTTAAAAAATTTATAACCTTCTTCCTTTTCAAGCAAAACTTCTACTTCTCTCAAATCAATTAAATATTACTTAAATTATGTTCCTAACAATGTGTTGTCATGTTTTTTTTATATTCCAGATAATTCAGACTTCTGTGCTAGTAAAGCAGAACATTTTTGTTATTCGTGCTTATCATTAAATTACCATCAACCTAGTAGTTTAAAGTCTTCCACTGTATCTAATATTAATATTTCTATTAATTTTTATGTGAAGTTCTGTCTTACTAGAAATTTTTCAATTATTTCAATAACCTTTGGAGTAGGAATGCTGTGTATCATTATAATTGTCTTAAATGTGTGAACTTTGATTTTTATTTCTAGAAGTTGATTTTAAAATGTTCTGGGTTGCTTTGTTTTGCTTGGGGTTTTTTGTTTGTTTGGCTTTTTTGTTTGTTTTGGTTAGATTGATCCAAACCCAGATCAGCCCACAGATGAGAGACCATCTTGCCCCTCTCGTTGAAGGGATCCATATAAAAACTGACTTGGGTTTTGAAACACACCTGCTGTGTTGAAGATCAAGGTGTCATAGTGGAGACTTGCTTCAAAAGGAAATGGCATTGCTCTTGCCTGTATGGTGAACAAATGAAACCAACCTCTGATCATGCTTTGATACCTACAGCACATCATAGGACTGCTCCACATGCTCAACAACCTGAGGCCCCCTCCCTTAGGGGCACATACTAGGAGCAGCCTTACTAGTGTACAGTCATCCATTTCAAAATACTCAAACCATGTTGTAAGAGAAGTGTGTCTGCTTCTTATGAATTGAAAATTTGCACATGCTTATGTTATGCAGTTCAGTGTCACTACAGCTTTTTTCATTTTGATGGACTGCTGTTACTCCCTCTTAATTGTTTGTGATCTAAACCAGAAGGAACAAAAGAAAGCTTTGACAAAAAGACTGACAAATGCATTTTTCCCCTCAAATTTAATGTAGCCTGGATTTTACCTGCATCTGCACATGCTCGGAATTGTCCTAGTAGGCTGATCATATATCACCTCTTCAGCTTGGATCCTATTGTGGATTTATTTACAAACATCACATGCCCTTAAGCCAGTCCTCCTTGGTGTATGTTTTGCAGCCAACTGTAGTAGACGAGCAACAGTTATATGGAGGTGGGGGAAGAGATAACAGAAACTAAGACACTTTAAGATTGTATACCTTCTTGATTTATTTTAAGAATTTATGTTTCTGTTATTATTACAAAGCAGCATTTTGTTACAGGCTGCTTAAAGATCACTTAATCTCAGGTGAACTCATCATTTGCCAAACTGCTATTCATTTTATTATGTTGCACTGTTATTTCTTCTGTTTCAGTTTTATTGGAGGGGAATTTTGATTAGGGACATGCACAAATCTTAAAGTGAAAGCAGCACCAGCAGACATCAGCAAAATGTGAAAAGAACTTTAAAAGAGGATAGTCATATATTGTCCAGGGTTCATAGGCAGATAGATATCTCAACTAGGAGGGATGTGTGGTGGGTTAACCCTGGCTGAGCACCAGGCACCCACCAAGCCACTCTATCACCCTTCCCCCTTTTCCTCTCCCTCCTCTGAAGAGCAAAAGGGGAAAGGAAAATAAGAAGGAAATAAAACCCTTGTGGGTAAAAACAAAGGCAGTTTAATGAAAAGCAAAGGCAAGTAATGCTGTGTGAGGAAGCAAAGAAAAAAAACAAAGATTTATTCTCTACTTCCTATCAGCAGACGATGTCTGGACTTTCCTGGGAAGCAGGGCTCCAAAACATGTAGCAGTTCCTCCAGAGGACAAAGGAGTAGCCCCCCCCTCCTCCTTTGTACTAACTTTATAGTTGAACAGACATCATATGGTATGGAATATCCCTTTGGTCAGTTCAGGTCAGCTGTCCTGGTTATGTTCCCTCCCAAGCTTCTGTCCCCCCCATCCCCCTAACACTGCTCAGTGGTAGTCATAACATGGGTGTTATCAACACCCTTCTGACTCTCAGCGCAAAGGCACTGCACCAGGAGGGCTGCTATGGGAAAATCAGCTCAGCCAGACCAAATGAAAGAAAAGATTTGTTTGTGTTTGGGGTTTTTAAAAAATAATATGTAGTTACCTAATCACCAAAAATTATATATAAAGTGAGTCTCCAGTAGAAAGTATATTTCAGACTGCAAGGAAAGCTTGATCTATGGCAATTAAGCAACATCTCAGTTTGTACGGTTTGTCCGCATCTCTTTTTGTATAGCAGGGACCAAAACTGAATGCAGTGTTCCAGGTGTGGCCTGCCCAGCACTGAGTGGTATAATGATTTCTTTATCTCTGCTGGTGAAACCTTTGTTGATGCAACACAGCATCCTGTTGGCTTGCTTTGCCACAGCAGCACACTGTTAGCTCATATTGAATTTGTTGTCTATGAGGCCCCCCAGTCCCTTTCCACAGAGCTGCTCCCCAGCTAGATAGATCCCAGCCTGTGCTGCACTCCTGGATTATGTTTTCCCAGTGCAAGACCTTACATTTGTCTTTGTTGAACATCAGGTTCTTATTAGTCCACTTTTCCAGCCTATCCAGGTCTTCGTCTAGGGTGGTTCTCCCTTCCAAAGTATCTGCTTACCCACTCAGTTTGGTGTCATCAGCAAATGTCATCAGGGTACACTTGATCCCCTCATCCAGGTAATTTATGAAGATATTAAACAGCATTTGGCCCAATGCTGACCCCTGGGGGATCCCACTTGTGACAGATTTACTACCACCCTCTGGGTGCAGCCTGTTTGCCAGTTCCCCACCCACCATGTGGACCACTTGTCTAGTCTGTAACACATCAGTTTCTCTAGGAGGAGACTGTGGGGAACCATATCACAAGCCGTGGAAAAAAATCCAGGTAGACAATGTCCACTGCTCACCTCTCATCAACTGAGCATGTTACTCTGTTGTAGAAGGTGATTAGGTTTGTCAAGAATGATTTGCCCTTAGTGAATCTGTGCTGGCTTTTCCCAATCACATGCCTCATTTGACTTGTGATAGCCCCCAGGAGGATCAGTTCCATAACTTTCCAAGGGACTGAAGTAAGACTGATGGACCTATAGTTTCCTGGGTCCTCCTTTAAGCCCTTCTTGTAGATGGGGGTGATATTACCCTTCTTCCAGTCTTCTGGGACATCTCAATCTCCATGACTACTCAAAGAGCATGGAGCAAAGGCAAAGAGCCTTACAATAATGTCAGCCAGCTCTCTTAACACCCTCAGATGGATACCATCCAGGCCCATCATTTTATAGGGGTTGACCTCCTATAGTAGTTTACATACAGTCTCTGCCTTCACTAATGGTGGGTCTGTGTTTGCATTGACCTGTGTTTTTTTTCCCAAGGCCTGGGGCCCAACAATGCTGGTAAAAACAAAGGTGAAGAAAGTGTTGAGAACCTCTGCTTTTTCAGCATTGTTGGTGACTAATTCACCTCTCCTGTTTAACAGCAGGCCAATATTTTCCTTCTGCTTCTGCTTGTTGTTTACATAGCTGAAGAATCCTTTCTTGTAGTTTTTGACATATGTGACCAATTTCAATTTGAGCTGAGATTTTGCTTTTCTAACTGCATCTCTGCATGCCCTGGCAATACCCTTGTAGTTATCAACAGGTACTTGGCCGCTTTTCCATCTCTGGTACGCTTCTCTTTGGTTTTGATCAGACTCAGAAGCTTGCAGCTAAGCCAACGGGATCTCTTTCTCCACCTATTTGCCTTACCTTTAAAGAGGATGAACTGGTTTTTGTGCTTCCAGGAGACCATTCTTGAAAAACTCCAAGCACTCGCTCCTTTGTCCTCCATGGAAGATTACCATAGCATCTATCCCAACTGAGCTCTGAGCTTGCTGAGAATTGTTCTGATTGTCTGCCAGGCTAGTACCAAGAGCTTTAATACAAAACAAAAACCCCCAAGCTAAGCAACTTTAAACATACATTCATCTATGTTTTGCCAATTAGATACCCTATCAGGAAAGACAAGGCTATCAACAGAAAAGTCAGTATAAATTGATTATTATCTGTAAATGGAAAAATAACATAGCCCAGCCAGTCACAGGTATAACAGAGGAAACCATGAATTCAAACAATATAGAAGATACAAACATTTTTGTTATTTGTGCTTATCATTAAATTACCATCAACCTAGTAGTTTAAAGTCTTCCACTGTATCTAATATTAATATTTCTATTAATTTTTATGTGAAGTTCTGTCTTACTAGAAATTTTTCAATTATTTCAATAACCTTTGGAGTAGGAATGCTGTGTATCATTATAATTGTCTTAAATGTGTGAACTTTGATTTTTATTTCTAGAAGTTGATTTTAAAATGTTCTGGGTTGCTTTGTTTTGCTTGGGGTTTTTTGTTTGTTTGGCTTTTTTGTTTGGTTTGGTTTGAATGCAAGAAATTATATAGAAAAAGCACTCACCCCTTGAGCATACCCTAAAGAAGAAAAGAATGATGGAGCTATTAGATATGACCAGTGCTTTTATGCTAGAGATTTGTAAATATAAACTTCTTTTTTAGAAATTATGTAAAAAAACCCCTATTGTCAGAGACATATCTGATATTGACCACTTAACTAATCCATTGTATATATCCTTGTGCATTGAAACAGCTTGGGAGGGAGGGAAAGCTGGTGTTTCTGCATTGTTAGAGTTCTGCCTTATTTTTAAGGCTTCATAAATATGACAAAATAGGCTTTTTCATAAGTGGCCTTTATAAGAACATGAAAAATATTTCATGTCTCAAAAATAATGACAATATGATTAAAATGAGAGTCACGTTTTAAGAGATTCAGTTCAAGGATTTGTGCTTTGATAAGCAGGAATTGGAAATTGGATTATGTCTTATGCTAGTCAATTTTGTGAATGTCCCTTCCTTCTATCCTCTCCAACCAGACAACATTTTAAAAGTTTATAAGATCGTGAGCATAAAAGGGCATTTGGTGATTTTACTTGGGTTTTTTTGGTTTTTGTTTGTTTGTTTTAACAGACTAGGGAACAATTGCTGATATACATAGCATTAAAGTACTTATCCCAGTAGAATGGAAAACTATATATGAAGCAGAATTGACCAATGCTATCATAATTGACATTACATCATAGGCTGTGATTAGAGTAAAAAACTTCTAAGACTTTATCAAATAAAGACTTCCCATTTAAACTTTTCTGTTGTTCAGAGGCATTACAGGTTCATAGTTGTAGCCCAATATTTGATATAGAATCTTGAACTGAACTAGGAAAAAAATAAAATCCTAGCAGTAGAGCAACAAAGTGCAATATTAAATGTTTGCTTTATAGATTATATTCTATGGCTATTGTGCTTTGGTGGTGGGTTTTTTTTGGTGCTGAACATGTCCTTACGGACTCTGTCTAAAAAAAAACTATGTGACAAACAATTTTTCCTTTTGTTCTTCCTTGTGGAAAATAAACTTTTTTATTTAAATGCTTTTTAAATACTTTAAGCCATAAGATTGTGATTTAAACATTTTATATGTCTTCATATAAAATAGCCATAAGAATCAAATTACTACAGACATACATATGTGATGTATGAACTACA